GAGCAATTATGAGAGCAATTATGAGAGCAATTATGAGAGGAGCAATTAGGTTAACAGTGGATGTGTTCAATCATGGACTTGGTCCATGAAGTAAAGTCTTGACCATGAGAATTACTATGGATCTATAGCTTCAAGTTAGTCTCCCATCCAGTTTGAGAATCCAGATGTTGTCGGTCTACTCAGCGAGGCGGAAGTATACGTGCCATCAAAGGCTTGATAAAGTGTGAGAAATAACGCCTCAAGTAGCACAAATAGGGTGGCAGGGGCCATGTAAAATACCTGAACCAGGGAGAGAGGAGACGGATCATACAGTGCATGAGGGAGACTCTGATAGGACTTATGGGAAGAGCATTGCGGAATAATATGGCAGATTTAGATCAACGTTCCCAGTGCAATGTTAGGGGGCCGGAGTGTGAAGAGGTCTCATGAAATCTGACATAAGCAATTAAGAAATTGTGTTAGTAAAAGGGTGATACGAGGTAAATAGCCCATGACGAAAGGAGATATATCGCAACTATGTTGCAGATTATTGGTCAAAGAATGGACTTCACTTGTCTCTTTGACGAGTTGTAGTATGGTGCTAAGAATGGCAAAGCTCACTGACGATGCCAGAGAAACGTCTGGGAATGTTCTAAGTCCACTCTCCGCCTCTGGAAATTCTTATGCATCATATGGACTCCGGACAAGGTGCGTTTCTCCAGGTTTTCCTGCCAATATGGCCGAATTGCGAAAACAAGGTCAAACAACTAATATACAACGCGACCATACAAAAGGTCACACTTTCTTGATCTTAATACCTGATATAGTAAAGCTGGTGGATACATTTTATGCATAAGATCTGCATCAAGTAAGGTATTAATAATAAATAATTTTACTATCACCTCCTTAGCACTGCCTTAGTCATCGTTTTTGTCTAAAATTTCTGTTTTAGATAGACATTTTCACCAAAAGCTGCATAGAACCTTCAATTATTTGCCTAAAAGGCTTACAACTTCGATTTAGGCACCGAAATATGTGATGTTATTTTGATTTATTGAGATGTTTATTTTTACTCAAAATAGATAGGCGTTTACACTTCTTTTTATTTTCCTCCAATCTTCTTATCTCTTTATAATCCTTCTCAATCGACTGTCTGCCCTTCTTCTTTTGACCTTCAGTTTGTCGAGCACTTTGCTGGTCGGTTGAATGACTCGAACTACCGTGTCTGTTTGACAGCCCTTTCTTGCTTGCACGAGGACTTCCAATCTCCTTCGGATCAAAAATCTGTCAGTCAAGACCAAACTAGACGTGGAATCAGGCAACCTGTGAATATTCAACTTCCGCAGGATCAAGATTTAACCAAATGTACAGAATCCATGGGCAAAAGTCTGAGCTTGAAGCCTGGCTCCCCTTCCTCTCCTATTTACACTACTTCTGTGCCACTCGGTAGTTGCCTTCTATCCCGATTTAGATCAGATCTTACGGAGCAACAAGTAGGACAGCTCTTGCAGCGCCTCGCTGGTGCATTGGTCAACCCTGTAGAAGAGATACGGAACACAGCAAGAGCGGCTCTCTCTGCATTTCGAAAATATTTAGGTGAATTGAATCTTCTACTACTTTTGATTTAAATAATCTCTATCCTGACTTTTTCTTCTACTCCACTAATTTTTTCTATTTTGCCTTAAAATAGTCTAATTTGTTTCATTTCGTTTAAGGTGATGAAGGACTGGTAGTAGAGTTTTCCCACAATGATATGAGTAGAGCTGACATTTTCATTGAATTTCACAGCCTTGCTTTCCCAAAAGTTATTCTCATCCAGAATGAACTGCATTTTCGACCTCGCGTGGATCATTTATTTCCTATTTTATACGATGCTGCTACCTTTCCTTTGTCTCTCTGTCCATCTACTCTCAATTTGATAAGCTTTTCTCTTACTCTGCTCTTTATTATTTTAATCTTATCTAATCTACTCTAAATTGCTCATCTATTATACATTTAGTATGTTGTACTTATATCAGCTCATAGTGCAATTCACTCTTCCTCTTTACTCTTGTAAGAGATGTATTCACCCAATTTCGTTTAAGGTGATGAAGGACTGGTAGTAGAATTTTCCCACAATGATATGAATAAAGCTGACGTTTCCATTGAATTTCACATAGTCTTGCTTTTCCACAAGTCGTTCTCATTCAGAATGAAATGCAGTTTGTACCTCACAGATGTCTTATCAACACCCCCAGGGGGAGTCGAACCGTGAAAGTGCAGAATGGGAGCTTGACGCGTTAACTTTGTAATACTGACTCTTGTCTAATTATTTTGGCAAAAGCCAACTTACTTTACCAAATCTAAATCTGCCCTGGAGTTGTCCACGTTAGCTTAAGTTCACTGCTCTTCTGTAGTGTACTCTCTTGCTATTTTATGTTCCTGGGCTCCACTCGCCTCTATCATTTTCTCTTCCTTCTTCTCTATGATCAGTTGCATTCTGCAGAAAAACTCACTTTCTGCCACAATGCCAAAATATTTCACGGTTGCCTAGTTGTCCCACAAAGGAGAATGAAAGTGCATCCTTAGAAGTAACATGATTTTATCGCATTTAGAGTAAGGGCATTTGTAATCATCTTTCCACATCTATGTTGCTTAATGTATCATTTTGAGTGCATCGACCTTTGAATGCCCTGGACTTACTTCACTTTCTGAGATTTCATTAAAAATAGACCTAATTTGACATCTCATACTAATTGTTAAGACTTTCAATTCGCATGAAAGTAGATGTTGAAGATATTCGTGGGCCGATCTCAATAGAAGACGACTGCTGATTCCCGCTGTGTTGCAGCCGTTTGGCTTTAATATGACTTTTAGGCCGACGCAGTCCACAAGATATCTTCCTTCGTTTCGGGTGAAAACGAATAGAGTCTTCTTTCGTTATATAACGAACATCATCATGGCTGGGACTCATTCTTAATAAAAGTCTCGCGTTGAGACTAACTTAAGAAGACTGACTTACCCCATCATAAATGACATATATAGTCATAACGAAAAAATGTTTAGATATAGATAGATATAAAATGGTTTGGTTAGTTCACTTTTTCTCTAGTGCATGCTTGTGTGTGTGTGTGTTTACGTCTGTATGCTACCTGGCCGTAAATCAGAGTAATTAAAACAAAACTCAATGTCAGTTTAGAATAATCAAAGCTTAAGGACCCAAGCAAAAGCACGACCGAGATTGCGTTAGTACGTAAGTAACTCTGGTTGAATTGATGAGATTTAAGCCTGTACTAGTGAAATTCAGGTTACGAAACCTCCATGACTCAAGGGAAGGCTTCACTTAGATTGCTTTTGGTTGATAAGTTTAGCATGCCTATTAAACAAGTGTGAATTTAGATGAAACCATCACTCAGCTGAAAGATTGAGTTACGTTTTGGACGAAGGTTCATCACCCTCTCTCTCTTTCAATCAAGAATAAGTAATTGTTGAGCTTACTTCCATTTCGAGGGAAAGTATTTGGTGAAGAGATTCAAAGGTCAATCCCACCAGTAGACGACGGCGTATTCATCTTGACTAGCTGTCGATTGGCAGCATTCTTGTTGGCTCTAGTTCCGAGGTAATTTTCTTCGATTTCGGTGAAAACGTGCTAAGCTCACGTCCGTCGTATGATCAGCATCATCAGGACAGAATATCATCCTTACAACCAAATTCAAGCTAATGAGTCAAGAAAACTCACTGCCTCATCCCTAAAAAGCTGTAGATACTCTATACCTGACCTCTATGATGAGGTATAACGTTATTGGTTAGTGCATGTGATATGTCAACTTTGGAGCATGTTAGTATGTCTGTCTCTGTATGTGTATGTGTCTGTATGTGTTCGAATATGTACGAAACCAGCAGTGACGGTTCATAGTAATTAGGACAGCAAAAGTAACGCCTGCTCTCGAGCATCAAGGTTTGATGACATCCTCTATATGTATGTGTTTTAACCATCACTCTGCGCAAGGTCGGACACACGTTTAGTTATGTTGATGGGCCTTTTTTGTCTGCATGTGAGGGAAAAAAAATGGGCTAAAAGTACAGAGAAGGGACCGTGATTAGAACCAAGACAAGAAAAGACTAGTTGAGTCCCCACTCAACGTTATACCATCATTATTCATATTCAATGCTTAAATATCAGTATCAGTATCAGCAAACGTCTGCGACCGACACCATTTGATCTCATGTACATTCTCCGAATTGTGCTTAGCCACTTTTGATAGTTCGACTCAGATGCTTTTACAAGTATTCATGTGTTCCATTACTCTTTGGCGGATAGGTTAACAGGTCTGGTCAATATAAGGTTGACTGCAGGAATAATCGGGAGT